GAAGTACATGCCTGTAAATTTTCAAGTCATTTGGCTAAGCCAAATAAGAATTAAAAATCACCAAAGATAGCGGTATCAAAACGTGGTCGCCCACGTATTTTTTCACTTTTTACTTCTTGTTTTCAATTTAGTTCGGGGTCTAAACAATTTATTATTTTTAAATTTTTTTTTAGAGGGTATTGTATTATGTGAAGTACACATCTGTAAATTTTCAGGGCATTTAGCTATGCCCAAAAAAAATGAAAAATCGCCAAAGATGGCGGTGTCGAAAACATGCTCTCGCACTCACTAAATTTAATTCTCTTTTTTTTTTTTCCACTAGTATTAGTTTTCCGTATTCTATTTTTATTTCAAATTTGGTAAGGAATTCGAATGTCATGCTCAGGCAAATCTTGTTTAATTTATTTTTCTCCATAACATATCTTTTTTTCAGATTTTTTTTCAGATTTTTGTTTTTTGTCTTTTTTTTGGGTCCGCGTTCGGCCCGAACGGCCGAACGCACCCCCAAGATATATATTTATTTTTTATATTTGGTAAAGAACTCCGATGTGACCCTGAGGTAAAAGTTGTTCAGTTTATTTTTCTGCATAACTTAGCTCTTTTTCGGATTTATTTTTTATTTCATTTTTTTGGCTGGGCCCTTCCCTCCTAGTCCTTGCACGGCCGGGGCACCTGGGAAAATAGGGTGCCCTGGGCAGCCCGGCTGGTAACCTTGTGAGAAATATATTAAAAATAAAAAATAAAAAAATAGGTAATGAAATGACTGTCACACAGATTCGACGCACTTTCCATTTTCGCCACTAAGCCGGTTCGCCACACGGTCCTACTGATAGCCCTCATGAGCGTGTGCTGCCAGCCGGTGGTTCAAGACAGACTGTGATCGTCTGATAAATTAGCTAGATGGTTTAGCATGAAAGAACTTTTGCCCACCGCTGCAGATATCATTGAGCGTCGTGAACGAATCTTTGCTCCAATACTCTAACGCACTATCGTGCCGGACAGATTGCCGCGACCTATCCCTACCTCTCATTGTGACAATTAACACAAATTAATATGAGATTGGGGAATGGCCCCGGTATCTTAAAGGTTTCTGCAAACTTTCTTCAATATGTTTTTGAATGGGACGCTGGGCCCGGTTCCCAGCATGTGTTGCTCCCCACGAATAGATTGGAGCATGTCCAGTTCAAAAAAAAAAAAAAAAAAAAAAAAAAAAAAAAAAAAAGAGATTGGGGCAGTCTTGCAGAAAAATGATTTGTAATTGCTATAAATCAGTCAAGTTTATGTCTAAATGGCTACCTTATACGACAGTGATCCAATTTATATACACGATGATCCAATTTATATACACGAGGTAATTGTAGGCATTGTTAAAAACACTCGACACTCAGAAAACTGTACTTCTTACATAGGCACTTCTTTACTCAGACCACAAGACACTGAAGTGGCTTAAGACGCAGCCGTGACCGTTTGATAAGTTAGGTAGATGGTTTAGAATGAAAGAACTTTTGCCCACTGCTGCAGATATACTTGAGCATCATGAACGAAGACAAAGAGAGAATCTTCGATCCCTCTCTTTCACATGATTCTTTACATTTGCTGCATATATAATTGTGGGTCGTGAACGAGGACTAAGAGGGGAACCTTGCTCCCTCTCTCCCCATTGCTTCTTTTCCTTTGTCTAAATTTTGGTGACTTGCTGCTTATACTGTGAATACATCGTGATCTGTTCCATTTTGAGGACTAAGAGTGTTCCTGGACTTGTCTTCCATTGTGATCTGTTCCATTCAAGTATATGGGGAACACTTGCATGCTGAAATTGTGAAGCTAATCGTAATTGGTAGGCTCTTTGCAGAATTGCGTTGAGAAGCGAAAAACTGAAAAATCAATGCCACAAAGACAAAATATGAGCAGCCCCTTAAAATAGCGCCTGCAAACCTTCCCCCCCAATATCCTTTCCGCCCCTCAGTCCCCAGCACACTGGTAGAGCCTGTACCTCCCCCACCTCTCTCTCTCTCTATCTCTATCTCTTAGTGAGCACGCACTTCGATGAGGAGGTCGAATTACATAACACACAAGAACAACAACAGACATGAAGGAAAATGCACGAACTAAAATAAACCTAAAACTGGAAAAAGTTGAAAAAACACTGGAGCGAGTTGTTTCCCCCTGCACAGCCTCTGCTGTCTAGAAACAAATAGAGTAACCCTGCATACTCTCTCCCTCTCTCTGTGTATCTCTCCCCCCCCCCCCCCCCCCCACGCCCCCCCATTCCCCCTCTCTCTCTTGTGGTGAGCAGAGAGATGGTTAGCATCTCCCTCGATTACCATGGGAATCTCTCTCCCTCTCTCTCTCTCTCTCTCTCTCTCTCTCTTTTGGTGAGTAGAGACAAGGTTAGCATTTCCCTCGATTAGGACAGGAATAGTCGACAGTTCTCTCTCTCTCTCTCTCTCTCTCTCTCTCTCTCTCTCTCTCTCTCTCTCTCTCTCTCTCTCTCTCTCTCTCTCAGGCCTTGCGTGTATGTGTTTGTGTGGGTGCGTTCATGCACATGTCTCTTTGTGCGTTCACTTTCATGTGTGTGTTTGTGCACGTGCTGGCGACTGTGTTTGTGGCCATGCATAACGCACGAGTGCCAGAGATTTTGCATGCAGGGTGCGAGGGATTATGCGTGCGTTTGTGGACACGGCTGATGGTGTTTGTCTGGGCCTCACTCCACTAATCAACATTCAACAAGTAACAGCACACCTAATAGACCAGGTACATTCAGACTTACGAACCTTTAGGAGCAGTGGTAGGTAGGTAATGAAGAACAGAAAAAAAAAAAAGAAAGAAGCAAACGGGTAGACTCTGAAAACGTTAAGAAAACTGACACCCACTGACATGCAGACCCCACCGCTGATGTTTCTTTGAACGTTCCATCGCACACTAGACGACACTGATCAAGCGACGGTGTGATATAAGACAAGTAACTCATGCCAACAATACAGAGAGGTGAAATGTGGCTGTGTGTCAACAGTACAGAGGGGCGAATCTGGAACGAACAACTGGTGACAACAACAAAATCTGGCCGCTCAGATGGCCCATCAAATGGCGGTGGGATGCGGAGAGAAGAAGGGCTTGGCACGCGGCTCCCAGGTCACGGCACCTGCAGCCGGAAAGCTATGTAATAGGAGGTAGATGATGAATTCACAATGTGACCAACAGATAAGAGGGGAGAGTTTACAGTAATAAACCTTGAAAGGGGCTCGTTCGACACTCCTTGGGGCGTCCTCGGGGCCGAAGGAAGTTTCCTTGGGTTTTTTCAAGGAAATTCCCGCCATCGTTCCACCTGTCCTCGGGGACGTCACCCGGGGACATTTCCTTCGAACGATGTCAGACAAGGAAAAAGAAGAGAAAAAAAAAATCAAATGTGTTTGAGGCCTTCAGCCAATAGGGTTCCGCCACGATCCAGATTCTCGGTTGTAACGCCTCTCTACCCATGTGCCCGCTCCTCTCCGTGAAACGCGGATTCCTTTTGCCCAAGGGACCTCGTGAGGTCCCTCCCTTGGGCAAAAGGAAGAAATGGCTGGGGAATCCTCGGCGCCCAAGGAATTTCCTTCAGAGTGTTTTCACTTTTTTTTTTTTCCGACTGCATCCCTGAGGATAGGTGGAACGAACAATTCCTCGGGGACTTTACGTGCCCGAGGAGTGTCGAACGAGCCCCAAAGTAGCATTGCGGGAAATACTTGGGTGCAAATGGGACTTTGAAGTTCGAACTGGCTCTGCGACCACATCCACATGTGTGTGACTCGATAGGCAGATCATGAGTTCAGATCCCACGGGACAATCATGTCAGGGGCTACCTACCGCCTTGAGAAAAAAGGTAAGAAGAACTGCCTCCAAGCCATGACTTCGGAGATGCAATGCGGAAAGCAAGAACTGCGAAATAAAACAGGAGAAACTTAGAAAAACTTTCAAAAAGGAAATAGCACTGCTGGGACACAAAGCACAAAATGTCAACTGTTGCAACACGGAGGCGGCATTGCTGCAGTTGGAGCACTGCAGGGGCATTGCTGCAATTTGTGCTTCCGGAAGGGAGGAGAACAGTTGGAAGTTAGAGCATTGCCCTTCGGGACATCTCCGTTAAAATTGGAACGATGCAGAGAAGATTAGCATGGGCCCAGCCCAACAAGGATGACACGCATAAATCAAGAAATGGTCCTCCCCCNAAAATTGGAACGATGCAGAGAAGATTAGCATGGGCCCAGCCCAACAAGGATGACACGCATAAATCAAGAAATGGTCCTCCCCCCCTCCTCCCACCCCCCTCAACAAAAAAAAAAAGAACAGTTGGAAAACAAAAAAGCACAATTGCAACTGTCAGAACGCAGTGGAGTCGTTGCTGCGATCGTGCTTTAGGAAGGCAAAAGCACATGTTGAATAATTGAACACAAATTTCTTCTCTTTTTATTTTTTATTTTATTTTTTATTTGGACCATATCTCGATTTATGCGTGTCATCCTTGCATAGGGGCCATGCTAATTATCCTTCTCTGTATCGTTCCAATTTTAACGGATGTCCCCTCAGAAATTTACAAATCACATTTGCGACTGTTGGCGCACTGAAGAGGCACTGCTGCAGTTGTGCACTGGGAAGGCAGACTAACTTAATAGACGAAATCGCAAAAAGCACAACTGCGGCAATGCCCCCCCAGAAATGAAACCTCAGCTCTTCCTCGTTGCATTAAATTGCTGCACTGCCCGTGCAGAGCAGAGCAATGCCTCCTTCAGGTGAAACAAAAGGAGAACATTCAGCTCTTTCACTATGCATTCAATTTTCAGTATGACCACAGTCAAAGCCCCACAGAAAATTACTTACCCCCCCCCTACCCACACCCTCCATCTCCTCTCTCTCTCTCTCCTCCAACCCTGCTTAAATCAGAGACACACAATTCTCACTTCCTCTGCACCTGAGGATTACCTTGAGTCCCACGCCAAGCATCCGCTAATCCTCTCCTCCCAGTTAGATGAAAAGCACATTCATTTCTTAAGAAAAGCGATATCAAAACCGCCGATTGGATTCTCAGACGTTCGTCTGGAGTGCCGATCTTCTAGAAGACGGAACAACAGAACTTTGCCTGGTTACGGTATCGTAAGGGCATTCACCAATTCAGACTATACTGGATGTCTCTTTGAGTGTTTTGACGATAAGATTCAGTGTAAAAAGGTTCTAACGCGTGTTTGCCCTTTACGTGCTCTTGTCATTTGCAGACCAGACGAGTCTGAAGTTTCCTTGCTACCCAACATTACCGCACAAACCGAGTAGCAGACTGAATTGTTGGTACCTTTGCATGTCTCATCTGGTGCTGTCCCTTTCCGAGGGTGTGCTTCCTGCAAAATTACGGAGAGACGCGAAAAATAAAACGCAGGACCTCCGTTAAAATTGGAACGATACAGAGAAGATTAGCATGGCCCCTGCGCAAGGATGACACGCATAAATCGAGAAATGGTCCAAATTAATAAAAACAACAACAACAACAACAAAAAGTTAAAAAAACGCATTTTTGGGAAAACAACTACAGTGTCAGAGAGGAACCAACGTTGAGCGATGTACAGATTGAATGAACCATTTATGTGGGACTTCTGAAGGTGCAGGCACTGCTATACTTACCTTCTTCGGAGGCTTTCATCGACACAAAGGCGAACGTCCCAGTGGAAAAGCGCCACTGTTTGCTTTTCCATGTAACATCACGTCATTTTGTACTTCCCCTTCCCCTTCCTTCCACTCTCCCCCCCCCCCCCCAACCCCAACCCCAACCCCAACAACAAAGCCCCTTCTATTCTGGGGGCCATCAGTCCGGTTACTCGTCACTGGCAAGCAAGTTTTTTACATCCATCCAAGGGAGAGGGGAGAACAGACAAAGAGGAAAGCAACGGTCCGCCCTTGTGGGTACTAGATGCGTATCAAGGGGGCGACTGCTACCATTTTGTACTTCTCCAGCTGCTTCTTTTTTTGAAAAGCTTTTTCAAAGCTAAGTACTGTCACTCATACCGTTCATGGCATTTTAGCTAAGGTCAAGTGGAGTACTTGTTCTGATCGGCTTTTAATCATATCTGATCCATGGTACATAGGACGACATACAACATATAAATGACACAGACAGCAAAAAAAAAACAAGTATTACACAGCCCATCTGGCTGCATGGTACATGTGTTTATCTGTCGGTAAAAGTCACTAAATACTAAATAGTAAATAGTAAAAAGTACTGAAAAAAAAAAAAAAAAAGGTGCTAAAAACAGATCATGAGTTGACATCCTGATGGAATCCGATGAAGACAAGAAACGTTAGGGGCCAACCCATTTAGACATGGGTTCCGCTGTTCAATTAAGTTTGAATAAATTTCAATAAAACATATCTCATAGGATGTTATATTTTTTGTCCTTCGCGACATACGTTAAAATTGGAACGATACAGAGAAGATCAGCATTTAAAAAATAAAAAAAGAGAATGTTATATTTTCTGTTGCCGGCAAAAACGAAAAAAGGGAGAAGAAAAGAGTAAGGGTAGTTTTTTACTATTATTACTATAGTGATCGAACATATAAAAGTTCGATGAATGTTGTTTGTCGGATCCAGCATGGCAAGCAAAACCCAACCAACCCACCTTCTGCACTGAGCTTCTGTTTCTTCCTTTGCCTCTTCAGCATTCTTCTTCTCGCCTTTCCGCTCTTCATTTGCCCAGGGTCAACGGCTGCTTCGTCGCCATGTCCCTCTATTGTCCCATTCTTCTCTCCTGGATCAGGTTTTGCGCTGTTGTCGTCCTCACTGACTTCAACGTCCTCCTTGTCGTCCACGGGTGCTCTCTTCTTCTTCGCTTGTGATATCTGGTCACACTTTCCAGACGCTACATCTTCTCGTGACACGCACTCATCAAGATGTCCTTTGTCTTCATCTCCTCTCACAAATAGGGCAACGAAGAACCCTTCCATTTGGTCATCGGTAGGATCCGTTCTGAGCAGATGGTGCGCTGCTAAGTCCAGGAACACCCACCCATCCATGTGCAATGCCACAAACCAGCAAACAAAGATGAGAAACCTTCTGAAACGTTCTCTGAACTGACCTTATCTGGATCGATAAGGGACCACATAAGGGAGACCACACAAGGAGTTGATCCCGGGGCAGAAGGGGATGCGGAGGGGAGTGGGCAGGGGTGTACGATACATCGTCGAGAGGGGTACGAGCAATTAAAACATTTGTGCGCGGGGAAAAGGTTGCGTAAAATGAACAGCCAAAGAGCATATATGTTGCAATGTGACCATTTTCATGAATGACAGAGTGAGACAGAGGTGGGTACCCTACCCTTCCCCACTTGTCATGTCTAATCTTCCCTCTCTCCCCTTCTCCACCCTGCCCCTGCCCTCGCCCCCGCCCCCGCCCATGCCCCTTGCTCTGCCCCCTACAATCTTGTTTGTTCCACTCTTTGTTGCTGCTGCTGCAACTGCTGTCACTCCTATTCCTATTGCAATCATGGGTACGGCTACTCCCACTAATGCAACCACTGGTGCTATCTGGCTCTGACTACTATTAGCACTGCTACTCCTGTTGCCACTGCTACTACTGCTACTACTGCTACTACTGCCACTACTGCTACTACTGCTAAGGAGGAAGGAAATTATGTCACCACAGACAGAAACTAAAACAAGTGCTGGATTTAAAGCAGGGGTAAAAGATTACAGATTAACTTACTATACTCCTGAGTATAAAACTAAAGATACTGACATTTTAGCTGCATTTCGTGTAACTCCATTAGAATATTCAAATTCATATATACCATTGATATTATTAAAGTCAATACTCAGAGGTATAAGACAAGAGGCGGTACAGGTGAAATCTTCTCTAGCATAGAGAAAACTTCACTCAATTCCCTGTGGGACAAGGGGCAGTCCAGAGAAGTAACAGGTTTTACTACTGCTACTACTGCTACTACTGCTACTACTGCTACTACTGCCAATTATAGCAACTGCTATTGCTGCTGCTGCTGCTGCTACTGTCCCTCTGCTGTGGATACTGCTATTGCCACGACAGTGCTGCCATTTCCTTTCCCCCTTGTCAAGTCCAATCTTCCCTCTCTCCCCTTCTCTACTACTCGGAAACTCTACCTATTACATAGATCCTTCAAAGGTCTATTTGGCTCTGACTACTATTAGCACTGCTACTACTGCTACTACTGCTACTACTGCTACTACTGCTACTGCTACTACTGCTACTACTGCTACTACTGCTACTACTGCTACTACTGCCAATTATAGCTACTGCTGTTGGAGCTGCTGCTGTTACGGTCCCTCCTGCTATGGATACTGACACCACCGTTCTGCTGTCAATGCCTATCATTGCAACTTACCATCGACCTGCTCTCGCCACTACATCTGCCACAGCCACCGCTGCCAACACTACCCGGCGTACCCGCTGCCCCAGCAGCTAGCCCCGTTTATAGTGCAGTCGCTGGAGCTACTTCCCATTCTGCTTTGTCTGCAATCACAACTGCCTGAATTGCTCTGTGCTACTCTAATGTTATGACAAGTGTTTCTCTTCCTCCTCCTGCCCCTGCCCTGCCCCTGCTGCTATTGCGACTGCCACTCCCCCTGCTACTACTACGTCAACCAATCCCGACACTAAAGCCACTGCCAGAGCTGCCGCGCACTGTGTCGTTACTGGGTCTACTGCCCGTTCCACTTCTCCTGCTACCAGGACTGCGCTGACCACTCCGCTTCTACTGTTGCAACGACTGCTGCTTTTGCTCCCACTGCGGCACTGCCCCTGCCTGTTCTCTCGCTACTGCTACAGCCACTACTACCATCCATACTACTGATGCCACTCCCGCAACTAGCTCTTCTCTCTCTCCCACTGCCAATATTTTACATCGCTTGTGGTCACCATTGCTGATGCCCCTCAAATAATAGTTCTCAGCATTAGTAGCCAAACAAAAGTCAGACAACATACCTGCCCTGTCGGTGCATGGTACCGACATGTAAACGTTGACATATGTATGTCAAGGAGTTCAAATCCTGATGGATACACTCTAATTATTGGTGGCTAACCATCCCCCCCTTCCCCCTGCCGCCTTTTTCCTTGTTAAATTTGAAGCTAAAGCGCAAATGTGACTCCCATTCAAGCTGAAAGCAACCAAGATTTCATGGGCTCAGGTGGGCGGCTTCAGTTCACGAATTTCGTTCGACGATCGAAATACTATCAATATCATTTGCACAGAGAGAAAACTCGCTCAAGCTTCGTTGCTCTGAGATCATGACAAAGCGCATGATGTGCTTACCTCCTTCGAGAAGAGGCAAGCCCCTGCGGGGCCAGTTGGGAAATGGAGAGGAGAGATGGAAACCCTCTTGGCTTGCGATTGGAAGAACAGCCTTCACCACCTCCTCATTCTCCCGAGAATACACCGAGCACGTGCTGTATACTACTCGTCGAACATTTGGGACTGCCAAGTTGAGACAAGAAAAAGTTTGACGATTCCACCAACGCAGCCAAATGTACCAGACAAAATGTCAGATTTCACTTCTGCTCTGCTATTTGTAAAAAGCAGCATAGTAATCTGAAATTTAAACACCGCGAAAAGTGGCTGAGGAGTCCACGACTTTGTGACAGCATAACCACTTCGCAAGGATGAAACGCACAAATTGAAAGTCCAACCATCCAAGGTAATTGAAATATCTAAGACCAGTGACCACTGTCCTACATCCGTTAGAATTGGAACAATACAGAGAGAGAAGAGTAGGATGGCCCCTGCACAAGGATGACATGCATAAATCTAGAACTGGTCCAAAAAAAAAAAAGAAACCTTAAGAATCCAGTATATTACAGTATTATTGTATTAAATTATTATTATATTCAAGATTGCAATAACCCATTGCACTTTTTGGTCTGATAACCCTTGTTTTCTGAGAAATTGATGTCTTTTGCTGAACTTTGAGAAAGCTTATTCTGTACCTTCATGTACCGTCTAATAAATCAATAATAAGATTATTGTCAATTTATTGATGAATTTGACGCGGAAAAGCAGGAGGAGAATCACGACGGTGACAAGTTGCGGTGGAAGGGAGGCGAGGGGGATATCATTTCTTTTGCGATCTTGTCTCGATTCGTTTCTTCTCTTTGTTTTTAATCCCATGCACGGTAGCTTTGCACCGCTGGCTTTTCGATTTATGTGTGTCATCCTTGCCCAGGGGCCATGCTACTCTTGCTTCTCTGTATCGTTCCAATGCTTTTAACGTATGTTCTTCATCTTCTTCTCGTTTCTTTCCTATTACGGTATTACCCCTTCTACGACTTTGTTTCACCAATCTCTCGTCTTTGGTATTGCGCTTCATGTTTAAACTACAACCCCTTGACTTTTGCACCATGGAATTTGCAAACTAGGAGCCTAGCAATATGCAAAACAGAACTGATTTGGCAAAAAAAAAAAAAAAAAACCTAAGTGAGGACGCCGCCCGGCCGGGCCGGGCCCAGCCGGTTGGGCCCGGGGGGGCCGCCCAGGTAAACCGGGCAGGACAAAAAAAAAACGCCCAGATCTGGGGGAGAGGACCCCGAATCTGCAATAAAATTTTGGTTTTGGTGGGGGAAACGGGGGGTTGGTCTGGGGGAGTTGGTCTGGGTGGGGGGTGCTGGGGT